GATAAAATAAACCACAATCTTTACAAGATATTTCGTTTCCAATGTAGCCATTTTCCCATGTATGACCTTGTCCAAGAAAAGATTAATTCCATTTTTTTTAAAAAAGGCAAACCAGCTATCTTAAAGACTCCATAAAAAAGAATGGTCGCCTGTGCTTATGAACAAGGTGAGAACTTACCTAACTGATTCTACCTGTGATAGGGAAATAAGTCATTCTCATAGTGTGGTCCTTGGAACAGCAGTATCAGCATTGTCAGAAAACTTGTTACAAGAAAAAATTCTTAGTCTTTCTCTGACCTAATGAATCAACAGATTCCTTATGTCTTTTTATTCCTCCCAACAGATTTTTTTATCAAGATTCTGTATTTTAACAAGTCCTTCTGGTGATTCTCATATATTCTCAAGGGTGAGAAAAATTGCTTTTGGAAGATGTACTCTTCTAAAATTTCCAGAGAAATTTTAAGTGACTCTTGTCCTTCTGGATCTTGGCTTACTTATCATTGTTATTGTTAAGTGCTGTCATCTGGCCCAACTCATAGCAATCTCCTGTACAATAAAATGAAACACTACCTGGCCCTGCTCTATCCTCACAGTGGTTGTTATGCCTGAGCCCCTTGTTGTAGTCATCGTGTTGTTAATCCTTCTGCATAAGGGGTCTTCCTCTTGTTCACTAACCATCAACCCAGAATGAAAAATCCTTCTTCAGAGCCTGATCCCTCCTGTACAGTACACATTGGCAAAAAACAAGCTCCAGGATTTGATGGATTACCAGTTGAGATGTTTCAACAAAGGGATGCAACACTGGATGTACTCACATTTCTATGCTGAGAAATTTGAAGACAGCTATCTGGCCTTATCAGGCTGTATCAAGAAATCTGGAGGACGGCTACCTGGCCAACTGACTGGAAGAGATCTGTGTTGATTTCCCATTTTTTAAAAAAATGTGAGCCAACAGAGTACAGAAATTATTTAATAACATCCCTAATGTCGCATGCAATCAAACTCCTGCTGAAGATTATCCAAAAATATCTGGATCAGTACATTGACAGAGAACTACCAGAAATACAAACTGGGTTTAGAGGAAGTAATGACACGAGGGACATCATTGCCAAGGTCAGATGGATCTTAACTGAAAACAAAGACTACAAGAAGAATGTCCATATTGCCTCTGCTAAGGCATTTGACTGTGGGGATCACAATAAATTGTGTCTAACATTGAGAAGAATGGGAATCTCAGAACACTTGATCGTACTCACGTGAAATCTATACTTAGACCAGGACGCAGTTGTGAGAACAGAGCTACAAAATACTGCATGCCTCAAAATCAAGAAAGGACTGCATCAGGGATGTGTTTTTTTTCTCCACACCTTTTCAATCTATATGCAAAACAGATCATTAAGGAGGCTGGCCTTTAAGAGGAGGAATGTTGCATCAGGGCTGGAGGAAGACTCCTCGACAACCTGCATTATGCAGATGAGAAAATCTTGCTTGCTGAAACTGAGGAGGCCCTGAAGGATTTGCTGGAAAGGGTAAAAGACCGTAGTCTTCAATATGAATTGCAGCTTAATATCAAGAAAACAAAGATTCTCACCACTAGGCCAATTGGCAGCACCATGATACGTGGAGAAAAGATTGAGGTTGATATTTTCATCTTGTTTGCTCCACAATCAATGCTCTTGACACCAGCAGCCAGGAAATCAAAAGACGAATTATGCTGGGAAAGTCTGCTGTCAGGGATTTCTCCAGGGTACTGAAGAGTAAGCAATGATGTCAGTCTAGAGACTAAGGTGTGACTGATCCAGGCCATGGTCTTCTAAATTACTTGCTATGTTTCAGAGAGCTGTGTAATAATTAAGGATGACAGAGAAAGAATTGGTTTCCTTGAGTTGTGGTGATAGAGAAGAGTATCGGACATACAATGGACTGCCAAGAGAATAAACAGGTCAACCCTTGAGAGAGTGAAATCAGGTTGCTCATTGGAGGCATTGATTTTGAAACTCCCTTTCACATACTTTGGGCTTGTTTCCATGAACGAATAGTCCTTGGAGAAGGACATCATGCTTGGAAGGGTAGAGGGCCAGCAAAGGAAAGGAAGACACTGGATGAGATGGATTGACTCAGTGACTGTGGTAATGGGGGCAGGAGTGTCAGAGACTGAGAGTGAATTCAGACCTATTGTTCATACAGTCAGTATGAGTCGAAGATTGAGTTGACAGCACACAACAACAATCTGGCCAAACAACTGCTAAACCTGTATTCTTTAATTTTTTAGAATATTCCATGTCCTTGGTGCATTGGGCCCCCAAGACAGACCTTTCAAAGAGTGTATGCTTTAGAGACATTCAGAAACTTTTTAACAACTCCTTTTGTCTTTTTAATTGCTCCCTTATCCCCAGTGGTAATAAGCCCAGCTCTGCTTCTTGAGTTTAGTCCAATAGCTATTCCCCAGAGATTTTCCCTCTTCCCCTAGATCATGCCAATTGTGGTATAGTGAATTGTGGGCAGAAGTTGAAAGACCATGAAGCTGCAGAGAAAGGAGCTCCATGAAGATGCAAGAATTGAAGCCTGTTTCCCACCTGGCAAAAGGAAGGTGAGAGACCCAGATTTTCCTCACCTGTAGGGAAGTCTATTGTAAGAAGGATCATGTGGCATCTGCCGAAAGGTGGGAGGACTAGAAACCGGGTATAGACTTGATGGTAGTAGAGCCAATGTGTAAAGAGCACATCAGGAAGTAAAGAAGGGGGGAATGAGATGTTGAAAATAATCACCTCAGGTTCTATGTGAAAATCCGTCTTTATCAGCCAAGCATTGAACTTGCTGTAGGATTTACTTGACTCAGTGGCACCTAACAACAGCATATTGATGCCCTAGGTCATTATTCCATTATTGAATTTATAATTTAGTTACAGAGAGGCACAAGAGAAAAATAAAATAATAAATGCTGTAGAAGTATTTATAGCATGTTATGTTAGCAGCTGTTAGGTGCTATCAAGTCAAGTCTAACTCATAGTGATCCTGTGAACAACAGATCTGAGCCCTGTCCTATCCTGTGCATCCTCATCATCTCTGACACACTTGAGTGCATTGCTGCAGTCCCTGTGCCAATCTATTTCCGTTGAGGATATTCCTCTCTTTTGCTGACCGACCACCTTTCTAAGCATAATATCCCTTTCCAAGGAATATTTCCTCCTAACAACATCCTCAAAGTATGTAAGCTGAAGCTCATTACCCTTGAATCTAGGAGCCCTCTGGCTACACTTTCTTCAAAACATATCTATTATTTTGGCAATCCATGACATATTCAGTACTCTTTTCCAACACCACAATTCAAAAGCTTCAATTATTCTTTTATTATCCTTATTCGTTGTCCACCTCTCAGATGCATAGTAAATGATGCATGCAATATCATGGCCTGAGTCAGGTACACCTTAGTCTCTAAACAGACATCATTGCTCCTGAGTAATGTGGAGAGGTCCGTGACAGCACACTTGCCCAAGGCAATACACCTCCAGATCTTCTAACTGTTGGTACCAACGGTGTTGATTATGGATTCAAATAGGACAAAATCATTGGCAATTTCAATCTTTATCTTTCATGATGCTGTCTGTTGGCCAAGTGGTGAGGATCTTTGTCTTCTTGTTGCTGAGATGTAATCCATGTTGAAGGCTGCAGTCTTTGATCTTCTACAGCAAGTGTTTCAAGTCTTTCTCACAAGGTTGTGTCATCTGCATAATGCAAATTGTTGGTGATTCTGCCGAAGATCTGAGCCTGCCAAAGATCATCAAAAGGAGCCGTGATGACCCAGTGATTAAATCCCCCAGCTGCTAACCAGGTCAGTGGTGTGAACCCATCAGCTGCTCCACAGGAGAAATCTGTGGCAATCAGCTTCCTTCAGTGTTTACAGCCTCAGAAAGCCTACGAAGTGGTTTTTCTTCCTGTAGAGTTGCTCAGGTGCTCTAGAAGGGAGTGCACTATACCTGGAACAACTCTGGGCTGCTAATCAAAAGGTTGGTGGTTCTAATTAACCAGCTTCCTCACAGGAGGAAACATGAGCTGTCTCTTCCTGTAAAGATTTACAGGCCCAGAAATCTAATGGGGGCAGTGTGTGTGTGTGTGTGTGTGTGTGTGTGTGTGTGTGTGTGTCACTATGAGTCAGAATCAACTGTAAAAGTTGGAATTGACTTGATGACCGTAGGTCATCTCTCAAATTATCTAGGAACATATATATAATACAAAATCCACAGCAAATTTTTATTAACATGAAAATTCAAGGATATTTTGCTTTGTTTGGGCTGCTTTGAGTTATCACTTATAGATGGCCTCATAGCAACTAATGTCATTAGAGAAAGGTGTGAAATGGAAAGTTTGAAAAGTACTGACAATCTTAGCATCACTATAGGCAAGATTATGTGTTGCCTTTTTTTTTTTACTTTTGCCTCTGAATTTCTACATATTAATTCCTTCTAACAAGCCTGTCTCTTTTTTAGCCATGAACTATATGCAATGCCTCAAACAGTCACCAGGAGGAAGCATCTATTTATTTCTTAAATACCATTAGTTTCTACAATCTCTCAACATTTATGCACCTAGATGGATTATGTTTCATAACAGGTACTTACTGACCTGATTATTAATTTATTGATTTATTTAATTAGATGTGTAGAGTTCTTGTGGTTCAAAAGACACTATATTGGACATAGCAGGTATGAAAAGGAGTCTAATAAGGATACAGTGAACAAGGACCAAAGACTCAAAGGAGGTTTTATCTATAGATACCTATAATACACTCTGGTGTGGCTATTTGATGTGATTAGAAATAGAAGTCAATAGAAGGCATGAAGGTGAATTTATCCCCATGAAAGTCTCTCAAAAGCTTAATTTTGGAATAATAGTCAACATTGATTTTGATTAACTCAATCCTGATCCTTGAAGGGGAAAAAGATTTAATTTCATGACTTTTGCTTTTTATGGTTTCTCTCTAGGCATGTGTGGGAGATCCCATGGAACCACAGAATTTCACACGGGTATCAGAGTTTATCCTTTTGGGATTCTCACAGACACGGGAGCTCCAGTACCTCCTGTTTGTGGTGTTCCTATTTATCTATGCCACCACAGTTGTGGGAAACCTCCTCATCATGGTCACAGTGACTTTTGACTCCAGACTCCACACACCCATGTACTTTCTGCTCAGAAATCTGGCTGTCATTGACCTCTGCTGCTCCACAGTCACTTCTCCAAAGATGCTGGTTGACTTCTTTCATGAAACCAAGACTATCTCCTACCAGGGCTGCATGGCCCAGATCTTCTTCTTCCACCTTTTGGGAGGTGGGGCTGTCTTTTTCCTGTCAGTCATGGCCTATGACCGCTACATAGCCATCTCCCGGCCCCTCCACTATGTCACCATCATGAACACGCAACTCTGTGTGGGGCTGGTAGTGGCTTCCTGGCTGGGAGGCTTTCTTCATTCCATTGTCCAGCTGGTTCTGATGCTCCCACTTCCCTTCTGTGGCCCCAATGTGCTGGATAACTTCTACTGTGATGTTCCTCAAGTACTCAGACTAGCCTGCACTGACACTTCTGTCTTGGAGTTCCTCATGATCTCCAACAGTGGGATGTTAGTCCTTATCTGGTTCATCCTTCTTCTGATCTCTTATGCTATTATCTTGGTGATGCTGAGGTCCCATTCAGGTCAAGCAAAGAGGAAGGCAGCCTCCACCTGCACTACCCACATTATTGTGGTATCCATGATCTTTATTCCCTGTATCTACATCTACTCCCGTCCATTTACCCCCTTCCCCTTGGACAAGGCTGTGTCCATCAGCTATACGGTCATGACCCCCATGCTCAACCCCATGATCTATACCCTGAGGAACCAGGAGATGCAATCGGCCATGAAGAGATTAGGCAGATACTTGGTGATTTGTAAGAGAGAATGAACTTCAAACAGATGGAGTTTAAATGAGGAATTTCTATAAACTCTTGCTTTCCCATTTGCAATATGGAGGGGAATATTCTTACAGAGAGGTAATGCAGATTAAAATGAATATATACTGAGGGTATATTCATGTGTCAGACACGGTGTTAAGCATGTTCACAGTTTTATCTGATTATATAGAAAGATCACATACAATACCAATCTAAAAAGTGTGACAATATTGTGGACATTTTTGTCCCCCTTTCCTTTCTTTTCTCCCAGTAAACATTCCATTCCAAAAATAAAAATCCTAAAATTGACAGTAGATATATTATTATTTAAAATTAGTCATCTTGTAAATTAGAAAATGGAAATTCAGAGAAGGAGACTTAATCAAGATGAACAGCAAGTCGGTGGGAGGACCTACTTCCTTTGTGTTCAGAGGCATGAGATGTGGACGTGATTTGAAATTCACTTCAGTAACTTCAAGGGAGGACTTAGTTACTTCTCTGTGGGTGAATGTTTGTAATGGATGATCAACTGCTATGTAGCGATTCAAGAAGAACATCTATTCTCTCCTCATTCCCCCTTCATCTCTCCTCATTGCCACTGCAGTATTTAGAATGTAAAATCATAATATTGTCTAAGTGTTTCTCAAAGGAACTCTAGTGGTCTTGTGGTAAGGAGCTGTACTACCTACTTGAAGGCAAGTGATTCAAATCCACCAGCTGCTCCACAGAAGACAGATGGGCAATCTCCTCTCTTGTGATTGTATTGTGTCTGAAAATTCACTGAAGTGTCAGCTATGTATTGGTGCTGACTCAAGGGTACACAATAACAAGAATTTTTCATAGTTGTTGCTTGCAAGTGAGTTGGAACTGATCTTTTGAACTTGCTTTTTTGGATTTGTTTTTCTCTACTATATATACCTTGGGTTATATGCATGTTATGGTGCTTTCCTGACATAGTTTCTATGTCAATTTGATGTTATGGCTGAGAGGAGAACAGCATAGTATGGATAGAAATGAAAGTCAGATGGGAGAAGATCTTCACCCTGAAACCTACAGCGTCCCTTTTCAGCAGGAAGTAGCTAAGAGAATACGCTATCCCCTTTTCCTTATGAATCAAGGTGAAGTCTCTCTCAGGGAGGAGTGGTAAGGAATGGCAAAGGACACACTGACAAAGGAGATTAATCAGAACTGGCTTCAACAAGCCCTGTGGCAATTGGACAAGTAAAACAGACATTCGGCGGGGGTGAAGAAGAACGAACTGGGGAGGAGGGTAGAGAAAACAGTGCAACAATGAATGAATGAAAACCCAAAATCTCTGTAAATGTTCACTAAAACTAATAAAATTTAATAATAATTTTTTTTAAAAAAAGAAATGAGAGTCAGAGAGGGCAAGCTCTGTCTGTTAGTGCTCCAGATTTGCATAATGAATTCAACCCTAAATCTATTATCTCATGTGTATTTTTGCCTTTTTTCCCTTTTGACTTTCTTCACTGGAATATGAGCTTGACAGCAGAGCCCATGCTTTACGTCCAACATTAGCAACCAGCTCAAGTTGTTCTATTTAGATGTACAGCCTTTTTGGTAGCTATTCATGTTCTATTTCAATTGACATCAAAGATGGTAGTCTATCATGTAGCTGAGTGCAGGTTGAATTGGAGACAAACTCCACATTGTAGCTTTTCTTATATCCATAGAAAGAGAAAACAGTTGCCTAGCTAGTTCTCTTTTTCATTTGCGTGAAAGTTTACGAATCATATTGGTTTTCATACAACAGTTCATATGCATTTTGTTTTATAGAATTAATTAAAATTGACTGATAAAATTACAAGACTATTTCTCTTGACCTGTTCTCTATTTATTTCTGTTTCTATGTATGAAGGGAAATGAGGAAGACACTTGCTCTCTTATAACCTCAAAAACTCCAACAAAACAATTCCCAATGGACTGCATCACTAGGATTCCTGCTCTTATAAATGTTACTATTGGGGGGTTTTTTTGGTTTTTTCTGTTGTTGTTATGTGCCACTGAGTCAGAACCAACTACTGTCTGACCCTCTGTTTTTTGGAGGCTATAAACTGCATGAGAGGAGATTGCCCATCTTTTCCCCTCAGAGCACCTGATGGATTCGAACCCTGTGCCTTTGGGTTTACAGTGCAACTTCTTATCCACTAGGCCACCAAAGCTCCCTCTCTTGTAACTTGAAGTCATTTATTAGTTCAATTTTCTTTTAAAGTTGTCTTGAATAACTTTTTTAAATGAGAAAACCTCCCTCCTCTATATTCATAATATTATTTCTAAAAGTGGCAAGAAACACAAAGAAACCACTTATCCATAATATTGACTCAAGTGCAAGAAATATACACAGAATTTCTCCAGATTTATGAAGTTTCATTCTAAAGCATCACTTCTTTGATTCTTAAATGGAATTTGTTTATAAACGCTCTCATTTAAATGAGTATTTCTATAGCCAATAGAATTTATAGATTTAAGAGATCTCTGACTGAAATGGTTATATTTGTAACAAAAAGCATTTTTAGAAATAAAATAGAAGAAAATAACTTTTTCACCCAGTTTTCCCTGAGTATGTAGCATAATTATTCTACTCTTGTCACTTAGACGGTCACCATGCTGGCTTCTGGGTACAGTGAGCAGCTGTGATATGGTGGACATCGACTCACATGTGCCTTGACAGAGAAATATAGAACCTGAACTTCTACTCTTTCTTGTTGTTAGGTGCTGTTAGATCTAATAAAACGCATAGTGACCTGATGAACAACAAATCTGAACCCTGTTCTATCCTGTACCATCCTCATCATCTTAGACACATTTGAGCCCCTTACTGCAGTCACTGTATCCACCCATCTCCTTGAAAGTCTAACGCTTTCACTGACCTTTCCAAACATGATATTCCTTTGCCAATGAATAGTCTCTCCTAGCAACATGTCCAAAATATGTGAGACAAATTTTTTCACCATCCTTGCCTCTAAGGAACACTCTGGCTGCACAATCTTCAGGAAATATTTGGCTTTTTTGGTAGTTCATGGGATATTCAGTTCTATTTTCCAACACTACAATTCAAAAGCATCAATTCTTCTGTCACCTTTATTCATTGTCCAACTCAGATGCATAGCAAGTGATTAAAGAGATCATGACATAAATCAGGTACACCTTAGTCTTCAAACTAACATTCTTTCTCTTTAGTAATTTGGAGAGGTTCTTAATAGCCGACGTTCCCACTGCAGTACATCTCTTAGTCTTGTGACTGATGGTACCAAGGATGTGGAATGTGGATCCATGAAATTACAGACAATTTCAATCTTTGCTCCATCTTCTTGATGCTGCCTTTTGGAACATCAGTGGTGAAGATTTTTGTCTTCTTGATGTTGTGAAGCAATCCATATGAAGGTTGATCGTCTCTGATCCTCTGCAATGTTTCAAACCTTCACTTTCAGCAAGCAAGATTGTGTTACCTGCATAGCACAGGTTGTTGAAGAGTCCTTCTCTAATTCTGATGTCATTTTTTTTATAGAGTCCAGCTTCCTGAATGATTTGTTCAGCTTACAGAATGAATAGATATGTAGAAAGGACACAACCCTAACATACACATTTCCTCGTTTGAAATCATGTAGTGTTCCCTTTCTGACATGTGTCTTAGTTTAGGTAAAGATTTCAAATGAGCACAATTAAGTGTTCTGGGATTCTTATTCTTCTAAATATTAGTGTTTTATGATCCACATAGTCAAATGTCTTTGCATAGCCAATAAAACACAAATAGACATTCTTTTGATATTTTGTACTTTAGCCAGGATCCATCTAACATCAACAATGATATCCTGGTGCAATGGCCTCTTCTAATCCCAGCTTGAACTTCTGGAAGTTCTCTGCAAGTGTACTGTTATAGCTAGTTTAGGATGTTCTTCAGTGATATTTTGCATGCTATCGATAGAAGGAGAATTGATGCCTTTGAGCTGTGGTGCTGGAGAAGAGTATTGAGAATACCATGGACTGCTAGGAAAACAAACAGATTTGTCCTGGAAAAGGTTAAACCAGGTGGCTCCTTAGAGGCAAGGATTCTGAGGCTCTGTCTAACATACTTTGGACATGTTGTGAGGAGAGACCAGTCCTTGGAGAAGGACATCATGCTTGGGAGGGTGGAGGGACAGCGCAGGAGGGGAAGGCCCTCTATGAGGTGGATTGATTCAGTGACTGGGATAATCGGGATGGGAGTGTCAGAGACAGTGCGACTGACACAGGACAGAGCAGAGTTTAGGGCTGTTGTATATAGGGTCGCTATGAGTCACAAGGGACTCGACGGCACATAACAACAGCAACAACAACAAACAACATCCTACAAATTTCCCAGCATAGACTGTATGTTTCCAGGGCTGTATCTGTTAGTCGAAATATGTCAATTGGCATGCCATTAATTCCTGGGAACTTGTTTTTATGCTAATTCCTTCAGTGTAGCTTGAACTCCTTCCTTCATTATCATTGGCTTTTGATCATGTGGTTCTTCCGGAATTTTTCAATGTCAGCCAGTTCTTTTGATACAGTGACCTGTGTAGTCTGTCTTCTTTTATGCTGCCTGGATCATTCAAGATTTTGTACATAGCATCTTTCAGTGTTATAACTCAAGGCTTTAATTTGTTTTTTTAATTTTTTCAACTTTAGAAATGCTGAATGAGTCCTTCCCTTTTTATTCTCCAATTCCAACTCCTTACACATTCTATTATAATACTTTGCTTTATTTTCTCTTTGAAATCTTCTGTTAATTTATTTTGGCATTTCTCCCTTTTATTTGGCTTCTTGGTGCTCTCATGCAGTTTTCAGTCTCTTCTTTTTTTTCAGGTAGTTGTCCTCCAAATTTTTTTAAATTATTAAATTTTATTAATTTTAATGAACATTTACAAAGATTTTGGGTTTTCATTCATTCATTGTTGCACTATTTTCTCTACCCTCCTCCCCAGCTCGTTCTTCTTTTTTTTCTCCCCTTGAAAGTCTGTTTTAATTG